GGCATCAGGGAAGTCAAGCACGTTGCCTGGCTGGCAGAGCAGGTAGGCTGGGCAGGGCAGGGTCTCACCTGGTCCTCATTCAGAGCTGCATAGTTACCGCATTTCACATGTCTATAATATTTATTGTTCAGTTAGTCCTGGATATCTAGTTTGGAGATCTTCTGACTTGATAGTCTTTTTTTGTTGTTTTTCTTCCAGTTTGTTTGCTTATTTATTCCATGAGAAAGAAAAAGAGACAGGCACATCCAGCAGGGTTTTTTTATGCCACAGACCGCTTCCAGTGTCAGCCCACTAGATCTCGGGCTCGTGCACATGCACCTGGCATGCTCAGAGACAGACTAGGTTGTGAACCTAGCATCTTTCCCGTAAGATCGAGTCATATTACCACTATGCCACCACCAGGCCTCCATTTGTCCATCTTTAATTTCTCTTCCCTATTTTCCTTCTACCTCAATTATTTATTACTAATGATCGTCTCCACCAGAATAATTGACATTATCATTACTGTCTCTGTCTTTAATGACAGAAGGTAACTTTTATGATTTTAGACCAGGGTCAGCAAACTTTTTGTCACAATTACCTGACTCTGCCATTGTAGCAAGAAAACTGTTATAGATCATATGAAATAAAAAGGTATGAGTATTTCGTTACAATTGTATTTACAGAAACAAGTGATGATCTGGATTCAGCCCAGAAGCCATAGTTTCCCAACCTTCGTTCCAGCCTGTTGGCAGAGTTTCTAGGGCCAGCAGGCTGTAGTTTACTCCTCTGCTCGGGGAAAAGTATAAGATAGGCAAAATACTATACAGACTATTTGACAAAGGTACAATTATCTTGCATAACTGAAAACTGAAAAGAAATAAGAAAGCCTAAGTAGATTTTGAATGGAGAGAAAGAGAAAATCCTAGCTGTATTAGATCCCAAGTTTGACAAAGGAGAAGTGAAAGTTCCACATGATAATTATGTTAAATCCTTCTTCTTCTTCTGAGTCTTTCCCTGTTAGCTGGGCGAGAGGGAGTTGAAAAAAACTCTGGACTTGGGACCAGCAGTTAGCGTAATGGCTGTGTCGCTGGACTCCCATGTAGTTGACCATGGTTCGAGTCCTGGACCCGGTGGCTTAAACTCACGCCAGGCGTGTGTGCGTGCGTGCCCAGGATCCCGAGAGAAGAATGGAGGAAAAGGGATTGCGGCGTGGCCATCCCCCCTGGGGGGTGATTTCTCACTTTCTGTCTCTGTCTGGCAAGTGCATGCGCCCTATAGCAAAAACCTCTCCAAAAAAAGAAAAAAAAATCTCTGGACTTTAGGGAGTTAAGAAATGAATGTTAAAGTACTAGCTCTGCTTTTTATCAGTTTAAGATTTTATTAAAATTTCACCTCTTTGAGTCCCAGTTCCTCCTAGTGTGCAAAGAGGCAGAGAGTTGGCCAGGTCACTGGCTCCCTGATACATAAGATTCAGCCCGGGGATGATTCTGTTTTTTCTGCTTGTTTTATTTTAAATAGAGTATCCCTGATTTGGCCTCTCATCTCTCCACCCAACAAAGTTCTCAGGGTGGGGTGGGGTGGGTTCGTTGTGTTTTTTTTCAGAGTCATGGAGGATTTTGTTTGTTTAGAGAGGATGTTTGTTGTTGCCCATAAAGTTGTGATTTGGTAGATCTGCATTGGGGCCTGGATCCCCAGGTAATTGTGTTTTGGGGCCAATTTTGGATGCCAGCAATCTCTTTATTATCGACATCTGAAATTTCATGTACATATCAAATAAAACTTTAATAAATTAGGGTCAGCCCCATAGCACAGTTAAGTGCTGTGCATCTGTAACTGGGTCCCACATGGCCAACTGTGTTTCAAATCCCAGCCTCGGTGGCTTGAAAAACATGTTGAGTGCATGTGAATCCATGCCCGAAATTCTGATGGACTACAGAAATGGAGGAAAGGATTGCTGCATAATTATGTGCCATTTGGTGGCTTTCTCCCTCTATCAAGTGCATACACCCTATGGCAGTTGAAGAAAAATATTTTTAAAATTATAATAAATCAGAACATAGAATTAATATAGTGATTATTTCTATGAAACAAAATAGCTATGCAAAGAAACTAATGAAAATCATGATACAAGTACTTAGGACTTTGTAAGTTTTAATACTTTATGTTTATCATTGTTTGTGACTGTAGTTAGATAAGCAGCTCCCCCAGTATTAGTGTTAGGATATTTTGTCATTACTAAAGATACTGCAACAAATGACCTTGTAGTTTGTCTTCTCACATATCCACTGTCTAAACTGGTTCCTGAGTAATTAATGCCTTCAGGTTCTTACTTGGGAATCAGGGTTTAGACAGGTTTCTGAGTTCAGATAGATCAGACAGCAAGGGAACCCTCTTGATCTGAATATATTCTGTTATTAAGTTTATGGTAGTAACGAGTAAAACCGATTGGTAAGGCATTTTTCTCAAAGTTTCCATCAGTTTCTAAGCTTGGATAGTGAGTTTAGAGAGAAGGGGCATTTCTATACCTTTAGGATACATCCCCAGAAGTGCTGAGTGAGAGGGTATATTATTGATCCCTACATAACAAATTATGCCCCAAGACTTAAAGGCTTAAAATAATAAACATTCTTCTCACACAGTTTCTTTCTTTTTTATTTATTTAATTTATTTGCTATAGCATGCATGCACTTGATAGAGAGAGGTAGGGGTAGGGGGAGTAAGAAAACACTCTCCCCCTTTGCAGGTATGGGGGTGGGTTTCTAAGTATCAGGATTTTGAGAGCAAGGTGGTTCTAGTCCAGGACCTCTCATAAAGTTTCAGAGAACTAACCAAGGTGGCAATCATTTGCGTGTTGGTAGCTTCACTGCCAAGCTGATTCATCCACCTGGCTGTTACAGGAGGCCCAAGTTCTTTACCATGTGGGCTTTCCTACAGGGCCGCCTGAGTATCCTTGCAACATGGCTACTGGTTTCCCCCAGAGCAAATGGTCTGAGAAAACAGGATGGAAGCCACAGTGCTGTTCATGGCCTAGTCTCAGAATTTCACACACAATTACTTCTGCTTTCTTCTTTTCATTAGAAATTAATTACGGGACCAGCAGGTGGCATGGTGGTTGAGGCGCTGAACACTCCCACATGGCTGAGCACAGTTCAAGTCCCAGACCTGGTGGCTTTCTTTCTTACTTTCTCTCTCTACGTATCTCTCTCTCTGGTCAAATTAATCTAAGTGAACGAATAAATAAAGGTAAATAAATAATTCTTAAAAAAAAAAAAGTGAATCACTAGGGCTACACTTTTGGGACTGAAGAGTAGCAAAGAATTTGTAGGTATATTTTTAAACTGCTACAAAGGGTATATGCATTTGTAATGTTGATGAATATTGCCAAATTGCCTTCAAATGAGGTTGTACTATAATTTAGATTCTCATCAGCAGTGTCTAAGAGTTGTCAGAATATTAATTTTTAATATATATATATATACTTACTTAATTAATTAATTTACATTCATTCACTGAACATCGTCACAGCATACAAAATGTGATTTCCAATCCAGAATATACTGCATAGTGGCTTAATAATACATGTTATCACCAATAATTTTCCATTTCTAGTTTCATATATATGTGTCTATATATTTCCCCCACTTTCTCACCCTCTGCCATTTCCCACCCTCCTCCCACACCATCTCAGGTATCTACAATTGTTTTCCATTCCTTCCCCCCCCACACATTTTATT